GTGAATACAAGGTCTCAGCTGCGGCTGGGCTCGCTGCAGACCCCTGCATCCCTCTGGGATCCCCGTATCCATCCAAAGGGCCCCTGAGGTGGCATCTCACCCTCTGTGGCATTCCTCCCTGGCTGCAGGCATGGGTGGTTTGATGGGGAAACCGAAGCTGCGGCGGTGGGGGGGGACGCGGGCGGCTGTGCGGGATGGGGTGGGTGCTGGTGGGGTCCCGGGGTACCCGGCGTCTCCCTCGCTGGGGTGAAGCGACGCTGCGACAGGAGTGTTTTGCAGAACGCGGATGGGAAGCTGACGCTGCAGGAGTTTCAGGAGGGCTCCAAGGCCGACCCCTCCATCGTGCAGGCGCTCTCCCTCTACGATGGGCTCGTATAGTCCCGGGGCCGAGCGGCGGTGAGTGTGGCACAGGGGGGCGTCCCATCTCCCACCCGCCTGATCCCATTCTCACCTTCCCCCGGGGTGGGTGGCTGGTTTTCCTCTGCTGAAGCACCGAAGCATGGGCATCCCCCCCCAAATCCAGCTGTGCGGGGATGTTGCCCCCGTACTGGTGGGTTTCTCCCAGTCCCCCCCTATCGCACAGAGCATCCCAGGACCGCAGCCCAGGAGGATGCAGTGCTAAGCCACCCAGCTGGCGGGCGTTCGCCTGCGGCACAACTCACCCTCTCACCTGCAGATGCGGCTGCAGAGGAGGCAGGGGGGCAGCTGGCGTGCTGCGGGCATGGGGATGCTCCGGAGAAATATTATATTAAATGTTTTATTTATATTATGTCTTATTATATTACGCCCTGGAGGTGGCAGGGTTTGGCGCAGCGGTGTCAGGGACGCTGGGGTTTGCAGCATCCCGGGGGTGCTGGCTGAGCACCCCATGGGCCTCCCCATGCCCCCGCAGGGCCATGCAGTGATGTCTCTTGGGATGATTTTGGCCGTTTCAGTCCAGGCAGTGTCTGACCATGGGTGGTGGGTTGGTTTTTTTTTAACCCCGCTGGAGCTTTGAGCTTTTAAAATTTTTTATTGCGTTTCCAGCTGCGCTCACGTCACGCGAGACGGCTGCAGGGCTTTCTGCACATCCTTCTCACCCGATTTTCCTTCTCCCACCCTCTCCTGCAGACGCCTGGGGGAAGATGCTCTCTGTGCCATCCGACCACCGCCGCGCGAAGCTTGCCTGTCCCTCTCGGCCTTCCTTTCTGTTCCGCGAGCAAAGGATGCCCTCGAAGCGCGAGCTCACTCCCCCTCTCTGCACTCTGAACCAGCCGCTGCCATTTGCCAACTTCTGCTTTTTCCAAAAAAAAACACCCGCGACGGACCCCGGTCTGAGCGGCAGCGAACGCCGGAGACTTCAAGGCCTGGGGAAGGGGTCGAGCATCGCCGAAGGCAGAGCTCCCCCGGCCTCCTCACCCTCTTTGCTCCCCTTTCCTACATTTTTTGGATGGGACTGCGGATGCGCCGGCGCCGGCGCGGTCCTCTCCCGGCAA